TGAATGACAAAAAGACAAAGACATTACATCTGATTTCATCCTGCTCTGTAGACAGTACACCACCTCATCCACAAAAGATAAAAACAGCAACAGCATTTGATCCCAAGAGTCTTACTTCAACAGTTCCTCACTGACAAGAACAACCTGAGCAGCGAGGTCACGCTCCCAGATAGAACAGAATGCGTTCAGCCTCATCACTGACAAGCGCCAACATGTTTGCAGCTGGTTTTCTTTGGTCTGATCATCATGTTTGTCATTTGTCTTTGTTGAGGTTCATGCCACCAAAAACCAAGAAACAGGACGTTTGATTACTGGGCTGGAACGTGGGGTCGGCTACACTCCGAGTGACACTTCAGACTTTTACTTCATCTCAGTGATTGTTTCCGAGTTTAGTTTTCTGTCTGTAAACACCAGACCAAACTGGGTCATGGCACCGGGTGGGTCCAAGCCAAAGACCATCGGGCAGGAGTCAGCTGCACATGCACATCCAACACCAGAGACCGACTGAGCATGTGATCATCTCCATGTGACCATGAGATGGAGCTTAAGCTTGAAAAACAGGACTTTGCAGCTTAGGTTATTTTGTGGCTTACACAGTTGAGGTTTTTGTAGAAGACAGACACATTTTAAAGTTTTCTCGTTTGAACACTAAACAGCAGCAGTAACCACCACACAGGTCAGATTAGCTGTAACATCCATCTCATGAGTTTGCCTTGTACTGTTTAAGAGCTCCCATATTAATGATGCCATAAATTAGAGGCAGTGACAGAGCAGAACCATGGAGCCACTCAGGAGCAAAAATCAATTTCATGTTTCACTGTGACTCTGACTATTTGTGTTCAAGAGGAGGACAACAGTAAAGAGGTCTGCTGCTGTGTATTGACCTGGAGAGAATGGATGAACTGGATTCTCAACAAATTGACTTTTTCTTGTCAGACATTTTTCTTCATGCAATAACAATTCAGATAATTAAGCTACTTGGGAAAATTTCTTGTAGGGTGTTTTGAATATTGTTGTTGAACCTGTCAGGAAACGCAACAAGTCTTCAGTATGTAACAGTGTAGGAGTCAGCCTCAGTTCAACCTTAAAACTTTAGCATATTAACAAATGTTTATTACAACATCTTAACATGTGTCCTGAAATCCTTTATAATATAATAAATAGTTATTATTATTTATGCCCAGCTATTAAATACTGATGAATTCATCCATCCATTATCTATACCACATATTCCTGAATGAGGCCACAGGAGCCAATCCCAGTTGACACTGAGTGAGAGGCAGGGTCCACCCTGGACAGGGCTGACAGAGACAGACATCTCACACTCACTGGACTGTGGGAGGAAGCCGGCATACCTGGAGAGAACATGCAGATTCTGCAGAAAGGCCCTGGGTCGACCTGGGCTTGCGACAAGGCAAACCACCATTCCACTGTGCTACCCTTGATCAATTCTAATGAAGATATGTAACTTTAAAGTGCAAAGCTTTGGTTTAGCTATCTCAGTTGGAATCTGATTTCTGTGGTTGCATTCTTGCAAAACTACATAATATGAACTGGGAATGCTGTGTTACAGTAATGCAGCTCCCAGTTTACCTATTTTATCTGCCACTTTCTGAACTGAAAGTCATGTATCCGACATGAGCTTCCATAACAAGAAACAGCTCCACCAGAGAACAACCTGCCTGTACACAGAGACCTGCATATACAGCACTCGAGAGTGACAAAGGCTCATAATCTACAGCCAGCGTTAGAACCCTACTCTACTGTGACTGAAACAGTTTATGAACACTGTTATGAAGGTCCTTTTACAAAGAACTGACCTTGAAACGAAAACTTTGCTGTCAAAGTGCTGCATCCATTTTGTTTTACATCTAGCATGAGATGATTTTAAGACTGTGCTCCTGGTTATTTCCTAAACGTTTGCACCACAAAAATGAAAAGCTGATGACCATAATGTTTGAACATGGATGTGAGTGAGCACTGCGTCTGATAGCAGCTGTGCTCTTTGTGGCAGGAAGGTTGAACGCAACCCAACAGAGATGCTGTGGCGGTGACCAGAGGCCAGAAGCCGCTGTCAGAAGGTTCCACAAGTCTACTGAGCTGAATCAGGTCTAGTCATCAACTCCACAGAGTCAGGGTCGGTGGCAAACCAACAGCTGGTCCAAGATCTGCTCCTGTAGCAGTAATTAGTAAACATAATTGCCACCACTGCCCAGTACGTGTGCGACATTGTTAACACGTGGTCTAATAAACTGCCAGATGTAAACAATAAGCTGGTGTGTTAGGTTGTTATGTTGTCCTGTAGCTGAGACAGTGCAGTTTGTGAGCAACTGAACCTGAAAGTTATTGCAGGCAAAAACAGGAGAAAACTGACCTTAGAGCATAAAAAAAAATAAAAATAAACCAAAGTTATAATTCAGCAGATCAAATTATCACCTTGCATGAGTACTGGTGTTTTTAAATGACACACAAATCAGTCATACAAGTCTTTACATGTCAGGTTTTATTAGTTTTAATTTGAATTCTAATTTAAATTTCACTTCAGTTCAAATGACCTTATCTTTGTTGGATTCAATCTGTTCTCCAATACAGGGACATTTTATTTTTTCATTTGAAGTGCCACCCAAGTTTTTATCTTTGCTACTTGAAGTGCAGATTTTCATCTTTGCTTCAATATTTGTTAATCAGACTTGACCTGTTGATATATTTGATCATTCTCATTAACCTCTAAACAAAACATGCCGCTGCAGAGTGAAGACCTGTTCCTTATCTTTCAGCCTCAGTCCTTTGTTATCAAATCAAGACCACTGATCCTCTCGAGTTTCGATTCTTGTACTGATAGCACAGCTTTGCTGATTGTAATGACTTTGCTTCCGGTTGCACAGGAGAGAAACAGAACGATCTGGTAAATGAAAGAGCAGAGGAGGTTTCCAATAACACAGAAGATTGAAGCTGAAGTAGGAAATTGAAGTGGAAGGAAGATGTACACACAGAGGAAAGACAGAAAGGATATTACACTTTCAATTTTAAACTTGAAAATCAAAGTGTACAAGGTGGAGTGAGATTAAAGAGGAAGACAATGGGGAAAAGAAGAGAAGAAGAAAAGAGACCAATAGCAAGACACAAAGTGTCAGGAACGAGAAAGATGGTGGTGGAGAGAAAACAAGGAGACGTCACCAGAGAGAGACATGAGACAAGTCAGAAAGAGAAAAAACAGAAGAGAAGCTCCTTCGGAGACATGAGCAGAAACGAGGTCACGACCTGACAGACATCCACACATAGCAAATCAAAAAGGTGCTCTGACGTCACTCTCAACCAGCTCACTTTGCCATGTTGCAGTAACTCTTTCAGAGCACTGATTTATAAGCATGACATTATTAATATGAATCTGGCTTTTACTTTGTTGGCTGGTCATAACTAAATGTTTGAAGACACCGCCTTTGATTCTGGAAAGTGTTTGACATTCTGGGAATAAAAGATCAATCTAATAATCAAGAAAATAATCTGTAGATGAATCAATAACTTCTGCAGTTTCCCACTAGTCCTCCAACCTATTCAACATGCAGATTCTGCAGAAAGGCCCTGGGTCGACCTGGGCTTGCGACAAGGCAAACCACCATTCCACTGTGCTACCCTTGATCAATTCTAATGAAGATATGTAACTTTAAAGTGCAAAGCTTTGGTTTAGCTATCTCAGTTGGAATCTGATTTCTGTGGTTGCATTCTTGCAAAACTACATAATATGAACTGGGAATGCTGTGTTACAGTAATGCAGCTCCCAGTTTACCTATTTTATCTGCCACTTTCTGAACTGAAAGTCATGTATCCGACATGAGCTTCCATAACAAGAAACAGCTCCACCAGAGAACAACCTGCCTGTACACAGAGACCTGCATATACAGCACTCGAGAGTGACAAAGGCTCATAATCTACAGCCAGCGTTAGAACCCTACTCTACTGTGACTGAAACAGTTTATGAACACTGTTATGAAGGTCCTTTTACAAAGAACTGACCTTGAAACGAAAACTTTGCTGTCAAAGTGCTGCATCCATTTTGTTTTACATCTAGCATGAGATGATTTTAAGACTGTGCTCCTGGTTATTTCCTAAACGTTTGCACCACAAAAATGAAAAGCTGATGACCATAATGTTTGAACATGGATGTGAGTGAGCACTGCGTCTGATAGCAGCTGTGCTCTTTGTGGCAGGAAGGTTGAACGCAACCCAACAGAGATGCTGTGGCGGTGACCAGAGGCCAGAAGCCGCTGTCAGGAGGGTCCACAAGTCTACTGAGCTGAATCAGGTCTAGTCATCAACTCCACAGAGTCAGGGTCGGTGGCAAACCAACAGCTGGTCCAAGATCTGCTCCTGTAGCAGTAATTAGTAAACATAATTGCCACCACCGCCCGTTACGTGTGCGACATTGTTAACACGTGGTCTAATAAACTGCCAGATGTAAACAATAAGCTGGTGTGTTAGGTTGTTATGTTGTCCTGTAGCTGAGACAGTGCAGTTTGTGAGCAACTGAACCTGAAAGTTATTGCAGGCAAAAACAGGAGAAAACTGACCTTAGAGCATAAAAAAATAAATAAAATAAACCAAAGTTATATTTCAGCAGATCAAATTATCACCTTGCATGAGTACTGGTGTTTTTAAATGACACACAAATCAGTCATACAAGTCTTTACATGTCAGGTTTTATTAGTTTTAATTTGAATTCTAATTTAAATTTCACTTCAGTTCAAATGACCTTATCTTTGTTGGATTCAATCTGTTCTCCAATACAGGGACATTTTATTTTTTCATTTGAAGTGCCACCCAAGTTTTTATCTTTGCTACTTGAAGTGCAGATTTTCATCTTTGCTTCAATATTTTTTAATCAGACTTGACCTGTTGATATATTTGATCATTCTCATTAACCTCTAAACAAAACATGCCGCTGCAGAGTGAAGACCTGTTCCTTATCTTTCAGCCTCAGTCCTTTGTTATCAAATCAAGACCACTGATCCTCTCGAGTTTCGATTCTTGTACTGATAGCACAGCTTTGCTGATTGTAATGACTTTGCTTCCGGTTGCACAGGAGAGAAACAGAACGATCTGGTAAATGAAAGAGCAGAGGAGGTTTCCAATAACACAGAAGATTGAAGCTGAAGTAGGAAATTGAAGTGGAAGGAAGATGTACACACAGAGGAAAGACAGAAAGGATATTACACTTTCAATTTTAAACTTGAAAATCAAAGTGTACAAGGTGGAGTGAGATTAAAGAGGAAGACAATGGGGAAAAGAAGAGAAGAAGAAAAGAGACCAATAGCAAGACACAAAGTGTCAGGAACGAGAAAGATGGTGGTGGAGAGAAAACAAGGAGACGTCACCAGAGAGAGACATGAGACAAGTCAGAAAGAAAAAAAACAGAAGAGAAGCTCCTTCGGAGACACGAGCAGAAACGAGGTCACGACCTG